AGAGAGAGGAGAGAGAGAGAGAGAGAGAGAGAGAGAGAGAGGTGACATATATATATATATATATATATATATATATATATATATATATATATATATATATATATATATATATATATATATATATATATATATAAACGAAGAAATGTCCACCGCCAAATAACGACTTGAGATGCATATATGCGGATTTATGATAGAAAATGCATCTGACCTGTGAGGTGGGCTTTTGTTTGTTGCACACGTTCTGCTGAGGGGTTGCTTGGTTAGTTGACCAGTTAGTGGGATCACGTGCTTCTCCAAGGCACAGAATGACGGTCCGCTGTCCGGCTGGGCACTTCCGGCAGCTGACGAATCGAGCGTTGAGTAACCGAGGCCGCACACGACGCAGTTTGACAGCAGGCGTGTGCAGGGTGGATACCAGTGTGCGTCGCGATCCTGCTGCAGCTGACCTCCTGCACCAGTGAATCTTGCGGTTGCAGAGCTTTCTTGTACACCACGTATGAGGTACAAGTACTGTATGTTATATACAAGAGCTGCACAATATATATATATATATATATATATATATATATATATATGTCTCTATCTATATGTAAATATATGTATATGTGTATATACCTATATATCAGTGTGCGTGTGTGCGTATTCGTGTGCGTGTGTGCGTATGCGTGTGCGTGTGTGTGTGTGTATATGTGTGGGTGTGGGTGCGTCGGTGGGTGGGTAGCTGGGTGTGGGTGCAAAATACAACACTCTGGCAACCCTTACCGACCAGCGGGTCAGGGCATACTAGATAGGGATTAGTGCGGTAGTGGAGCCAGTTCCGACGCTCTTAGGTGAGGGGATACGTCTCGACAAGGCCAATCATTTCGCAAGAACGAACAAGACATAGCAGATAAAAACGAAAGAAGAAATTATTTTGGAACTCGTCACCGATCTCCCAGGATATCTACTGACTAAACAATGCTTCTTCTGATGCTCGGTCGAGTGGCAGGCGCTCGGTCGAGTGGCAGGCGCTTGGTCGAGTGGCAGGCGCTCGGTCGAGTGGCAGGCGCTCGGTCGAGTGGCAGGCGCTCGGTCGAGTGGCAGGCGCTCGGTCGAGTGGCAGGCGCTCGGTCGAGTGGCAGGCGCTCGGTCGAGTGGCAGGCGCTTGGTCGAGTGGCAGGCGCTCGGTCGAGTGGCAGGCGCTCGGTCGAGTGGCAGGCGCTCGGTCGAGTGGCAGGCGTGCTCCAGCTGACCATGACCAGATGCGACCACTCTCCGGGTCGGGGGATGGTCGGGAAATTGTGTGCCCTTTCACATCTCCCGGTGACAAAACAACTGGAATGTATCAGTCGAAAAACGAATGCGTGGTTCGCCGAGGCAACATGCGTGTGAAAAAGAGTGATAAATACATTCACGCCCGCTAAAACAACGACCTTGGCAGTCAGCGCATCATGCTGCCGCATGTGGAAAACCAACAGCAGTCATTGGTCTGGGCTTCTGCCGCAACCATCTCCGACTCATCCGTCTGACCCCTTAGATACAATAGCGATCCAAGAGGACCTGAAATAGCT